GGGAGAATCCCCTCCCTCAACCTGCTGGCCACACTTCTCTGGATACAGCTCAGGATACGGTTGGCTTTCTGGGCTGCTGGAGCACACTGCTGGATTATGCTGAGTTCAGTGGTTCTGCTTTCAGCTCTTCCTGACAGCTTTGCAATGTTCCCAGTACTTCTCCCCATACTTTCTGGCATTGTATGCTGTTTAATCCTGACACGCTGGCACAGCTGATTTCAGACTGTGGTTTCATATCTGGATACTACCACGATCTCATTTTGAGAAAATGCTCTGGGAAAGTAAATTTGTGCCCTGGTGCTGAGGTGTTGATATACTGCCTTATCTCTTACTTTAAGTAAATATTTCAGTAAATGTTTAAGGTTTAAGCAACTTAAAATACATTACCTTTACTAAGAGCTTCTAATCACAAAGGTAACCATAAATTCACTTAAGAGCAAATTCATTTCCTTGAAGAAAGCCAATGCATCCATTTTCACTGGGAAGAAAAGAGAAAGAAGTGAAATAGAAAGACTGTTTTCAGATTGAGAAGAGCACTGACTGTAGATTTCGGACAGTGATAAAGCTGCTTGATACAGGACACCCTTTTACTTTCCTTACCAGTGTGGGACTGAGCCTGTGTATGTGGCAAGCCACATCCTACAAGGTGCCAACATCTGAACAAGAGAAAGGGAATATTGCAGCGGTTCACTCCTCTTGCATGTTGTTGAGCTGTGCATCCTACCTTGATGCCAATTTTTTTCTAATTAAGTATTATAGTAATTCTTTTTTCCTATATATTTCCTCTATTTAAGATTTTATAAAGTGTGATTTGAGACTCAACACTACTCTAAAACATCTGTGCCTACTAGTAATCTGCATACTGGTTCCTGGGACTTGAGGCAATTTCCTAACTTATATTTGTTGTTGTTATTAGTATTAGTCATAGAAATGTGTTTAGCTTTGTCTTGTCAACATAAGAAAAAAAGTTCCATGTTTAGCTTGGTGATTTGGGAAGATTTTATACTTACATTCTATTTTGAATTTAATAGTTAACTCCATAATTTCCAATTCTGACTGTTTAATTGAAATTAATGACCCAGAACTTGAGCCGTTGTTCATTGATATTTCTTTGCTATCATAATTGGGGTTGCAATACCTGATATTAATTTGTCACCTGGCTCCATCTGCACTAAAACCTAATTTACAGAATTCTGCACTGCAGATGAAAGAAGAAAGAGAAACAGTAATAATTTATGCTACCGATTATCTAAGGTAAATGATTGTCCTCTAAATTTCTATGTTATTTTCTCAGTAAACTCAGTTAGTGTTGATGAGTGACATTTTTAAGCCGTGTGCTATTAACTTCTGTCAAAAGAACTTATTGTTCTCCATATTTCCCTTAAGCTACCTTTAGTTTTTTGAACAAAACTTATTTTCATTTGAAAATTGGCAGAAACAGCTATGTATTTTTTTATAATGGCTTTGCCAAGTTCACTGGACCAAGTTAATCAGAAATGTAATTTGCCTTGTTTTGCACTGTTTAGTTTCAAGATTATTTGACTCTTCGTGTCTTTGAGAAAAACATACAATTCATAATGGTGACAAGGTATGCTAATTAGATCAACTAGGTGTTTTTAGAAGTACATATAGCCAATGAAGAAATAAGCAAAGAACAAGGGTTTTGATTTAAAGCCTCTTCACTTTTTGTAATAGAATCCTGAATTTGAAGTCATGCTCCTTTCAATTTGCATGCAAATTCCTTCACCATGCATAAAACTGTTTTAACTGTTCATTCAAGGAAATATGTAAGCTGTAGTCACAGGACAATTTATAATATTCATAATATTAATAATATTTGTCTTATGTTAACTGTGTTACAGATTTACTGGCCTGCAGCAAAAGAAAAGGTAGAGTTATGCAAATTAGCTGGGAAAGATGCACATGTAAGTTTATTTTTTTTATTGCTGAGAATATTGTATATCTGTGTATTAGTTTCTAAATGCACAAAATAGGTTAGTAAGCTGTTGTCACACTTTGTTTCCTGAACTAATGAACTAAGTGTTTTTTCTTAATTTAAGTCTTACACTTTTTTTTTAATGCTTCAAGAGAAAAATATTCAATACTGCAAGCAGCATTAATGCTTACCTACCCTTGTATGTCATAAATGCATTTGAGAGATGAGTGTACTTTTATCTGAAATGTAATCCCCTGAAATCCATTTTTTCCCATCAAACTTCTTATTTCTTGGGAATATCCTGAATGTAACTTCATTATAATTCATTAACGAAATAGAGCAGCAAAGCAGAATACAAATTAACTTAATTTGGAAACAGCTGCAGTTAAGCTTAAAACAAAATCTCAGACTCATTCGCTTTTCCCTGCAATCACAAATCTTCCTTAGGAAGTCTCTTTATGAAGTGTATTTAAGGTACATTCATATATACAATAAAACTTTTATATCTTTTTTGCATAGCACAGATTACATCATGTGTCTAGAACCCACTAGAAATGTAAACATATCCTGGCTGTATAATAAAATTTCTTCCTGTTCTCTCCACAAAACCTGTGGTGTCTACCCAGATTGTCTGCCAGCAAGGTGGACTCCAGCTCAAAACACTCTCTCAGCTCTCTGCCTGAGGAATTTCCACTTTTTATCCTAACTTATTGCTCCCCTTATCTTTACAGCAGACAAAACCTAAACAACACCTCTGCTGAGCACTGGGAAAATTCTGATACTGGTCTATATGGAGGATTTGTAATGATCTATTGCTTTGCTCAGACTAAAGGAAAAGGACCAGAGAGGGGAATATTTGTTTAGGACATAAATTATAAACATGTCCTTTTTGCCTCATCCATTGTCTCTGCAGCTTGCCTCTCATTTAGCTGTAGGTTGGTAGCTTGACAAATGCATAGTTCTGGTGTATCCCCTCCTAAGTACCTTGTTACAAGTACTTGTATTTCTTTAATTTTGAGGGAGACTGCAGCAAGCCTTTCCTACCACCCATGTAGCACCCTTGCAGCATGTGGCAGCACCTCTGCTGCTCATCAGCAAGGGCCAAGCCCAGCTAGAGCTAGAACTGACCCAAGCATCCCATAGGACTCAGAAATCCCCTAATAGAAGTGACCTGTAGGATATGGTTGGTGCAAAATATTCACTCATACATAAAACATATACTTGGAACTATGTTGAAGTCCTTCAGTCTGCCACAGTAGTTTCTATCACGTGATCTTTGGTGTTAAAGCTTGTGCAGAACCCTGAACTGGGAGCAAAGGCTGGAAGATTGGTAGCCAGACTAACCCAATCTCTGTGGCTCTCCAATCTCTGCCCTGTTGTTGACAAGAGTTGTTTGCTACAACACAGGCTGAGCAGATATTGTCCAAATCGTGCTGTAACCACATAGCTTCTCATGGCTGTAAGCATTGTAGCAGGATTGCAAGTCTGATTGATGAATTGTCTGGTAGATAGCCCGAGCAAAACTGTAGCTGTCACAACTTTTAACTATTCAGTAAACAGTCTCTTCTACAGTAGTTTGGAGTTTAAATACATCAATTCTATGGCTATAACCTGGTACAATGTATAACGTGAAAGAGAAGAATAAACATGAAAACTTACCTTTCTCTTTCTTTTCCTAATAGACAGAATGTGCCAATTTTATCAGGGTTCTTCAGCCCTACAACCGAACCCATGTTTATGTCTGTGGCACAGGAGCATTTCACCCTCTCTGTGGATACATTGAACTTGGAACTCACAAAGAGGTAACTAATTTCTTCACTACTCTGACATGTGATGGAATAAGCCTCATCTTGTTTTGCATTCTTCATAGATTGGAAAATACTATGAGAGTGTGTAAAAAATGAACTGACAGCAGCTTGCATAAATAACCTGGTAAATGGTGGATTTTGCAGGTCAGACGGGAACTCGTGTTCTCACATTTGATATGTGTGTATTGCTTTTGAACAAAGCATTATCCTCAGTAAGGCTTAATACACAAAATTCTTTAGGATGACGCTTTCATGTGATTAACTAAGTGAAGAGAACATTTAACCCAGATGTCTTTCTTTCTAGTAAGTCATTTCTGCACATACTTTCTACTTGCATACACTCACACACATGCAGAGTTCAAGATGACACTAGTAGTTCTATTTTTTACTTTATATATACCCTCGGTCCTCAGACATGGTTTCCTATTTCTTGTTCATGGCACGAATACAGAGATTGTAAATGGTGTCTGAGTCTGTGCCCAAGGACAGCATCTCAGGACTTTGCAGATGGTTTGCAGCCCTGTCACTAGGTGGACGTTGGGTATCCTCCATCACTAGTGGCATATTCCTGAACTCAAGTTAGCAGCTGATTGGTCTTCATTTGCTGGTGACAAAGAAATCTCTGTCCTAAGTGGTAAATGTTTGAGACCTAACCCCCACAACAGAAGCATTTTGGTGTTGTGTCAAGCAGCCACTTAGTACACAAGTCTCTTTTTAACTCCTATATGAATAACACCTTGGTTATATTTATAACACTGTCTCTGTTCCCAGACAGTGTTGAGGTGCGACCTGTCTGGCTGCTTGCCTGCAGTGCAGGCTTCCTGCGCTGCCATAGAAATACCTTTCTCTTTGGGTCTCGGAGAAATTCTAGAATATAAGAAATGAGGTCTAATGATATGTTATTAAATGCAATAACCTGAAATATGTACATCTTGGAGTTATTCTGACATGTAGAATCAAGGGCAGATGCTCGCACAAAAAAAGAAAAAAAAAAGAAAAAGAAAAACAGGGCAGAAAAAGGGTTATTAAACTTGCCCAGGCTGACACCCATCATTACAATCTGTGGGTTGGTTGGCCAACCCAGAGGGGCTGCCTATGTTACAGAAGACTGAAGCTGTCTGAAATCTCTATGGTGTTGTTTTTCCCTTATAAGCCATTAATTCTCCTGGTATTGTTTGGTATATGCTGTATAATTGGGCTTGCAACAAAATAATGTTGTAGGCTTCTTTGCTTCGCTACTTTAAATATTACAGTTGAAGCAACTGAAATTTTAGATCCCTTGTATCATCATGATTCCTTAGCCTGAATGAGCAAATACACAGCTGAACTGAACAGCACAGCTCTCAGCAAGACTGTAAGTAAGGCTCTGGTTTACCTCTGGGTCATTAGCAAGATGCTTTATTCACTCTACCATTGAACCTTTAACTACTTCATTTGTGAAGGTTGTTTTCCTCAGACATTATGAAATTATGGATTTGGCCTGATTGTTCAGTCCAGCAGCCAGTCTAGACAAGGGGTCTGTCTCAATTAGACATGACCAATTACCTTATGAGAGGAAATGGAAGAAGAATACTAGTATTGTATTCCCTAATCCCCTCACTGTCTCCCAGTTCTGCCCCTCCTGCGTTCCCCCTGCTTGCTCAGCTGCAGTGCTAGGTTGGACAGTGTTCAGCACTTGTGCTTCTTCTGACAGTGGATCTCTTCTACAGCCTCCTACTGAATTCACAGCTTTGGATGGCATCAGGCATAATTTTCCTTCCTTTCTCGTACCCCAAACACCCTACAGCCACTGCACTGCCTCTGTAGTTGAACGTGACATGCCAGGAGGGTGCTGAGGACACACCCATTGACGTGAATTTGTCAGGCAGATGAAAAGGTCCTCTCCTTGTAGGAACTGAAGGCAGGATGTCCTACATGGTGTTTAAAGCACTTTTATTGCAGATCAGTTCTTTTAGTCTTTTTTCCTTTTCTTTCCCGTTTTATTTTATCTCTGGGTTATAAGAATGGATACTGTATGTTTGGTAATTAGCAACCTCTACAGGAAGCTGTGGGATGCTTGGGAGAGCCAGGGCCTGAGATAACCTCACAGAGGCTGTGGAACCGGGCCGTGCCCCGCTGACCTCTGCAAGCTGCTGGTGGATCTGCCCAGTGGTCTGCTGGCTGTGGAAACAGAGAGGAAAACAGTGTGGGTCAGGTGACTCAAACCCACAGCAGGCACTGCTTTTGAAGCCATACAAATCCCCTATGGGATCATACAATTAAAGGGGATTAAAGTCCTAGTCTTGCTATTGCTGAAGTCACTGCCAAAACTTCTCTTGGCCCGTGTAGAAGAGGCTTGGTCTGGTTGGTGCTGTCAGCCACAGCTCTCTAAGGGTTGCTCTTTTCTTTGAAAGCTTTGTCCAAAGTGAAAGTAGGAGGTTAATTCTGTGTGAATGCCTGGTAGTGTCCATTAGTTTGTCTGGGTGAAGTCTGAAATATTTGATGTTGATCTATAAAGCCCTCAGTCCCTTGAGTACTGCTGGGGTTGGAGAAAGCCTCTTTGCTTGTCATACAGCAAAAATGCTCTGAGCAGCTCAGGATTTCACTTCTTAGAGAATGAGACACTAATATAGCATTGTCAGAAAAAAAAAAAAACCTGCTTAATTTAAAATTTAGTTTTGTCCTTGGTGTGCTCTGATCCACTTCAGTAGCCCAAAAATTTGGTTTACCTGATACCCCACAAGTTTAGGAAGATAAAAAGGGCTGTTGTCTGATGATTAAATTCAGCTTTGTATCATCCAGAATTGCTGGAGGAAATGGAATTTATGTTCATAGGTTGGAATTGATTTTTCTTTTCTCTTAAGGAGCTTAATTATTCAATATCCTGGGCTTCTGCCTTCTGAGCCTAGAGAGTTTAGGAGGTACCTCAATGAAATAGAAAGGTTTGGTCATTTATAATCTGATGTGCATCAAGGATGAATTGAATTAGTGTGTTGTAAAGTCTGATCCTATGTGGCCATTACTGCACATAATTAACTGCCATTTGTACTCTTCAGTCCTCTTGCAAGGCAGAGGTATAGAAACAAAGTTACTTCACTATCTTTTCAGTAATGATTTAAATCACAGATGTATTCTATTTTTTTAAACTAACTTCAAAAGTTATGTCTCTAACAATAGACATGAAATAGTTTGATTCCTGAACACTAGTGTATTTTAAATATCACTGTAGGTAGGAGAGCACGTTAACAGTACTTCTGTAGGCAGTCTCCCTTGTCTAACAGCAGCCAATTACAGAAAATTAAATCTCTGTATCTGCAAAGACTTCTCTTTTCTCCTCTGAGTAGTCAATTTGTCTTCAGGACTCACTACGGGTTTCAGTTTAAGCATGTTTTTAGGAAACTAACGGAAGGAAGAAATAAAGGCATCCATTTTGGCAGTTCAAAACTATAGGAAAATTTCAAATTACTGCTTACAACAATTGGGTTGTTAATTATCCACTGAAAACATCATAAATAGATTTTTAATAATTTCTTTTCTTTATCTTTCTCTATGCCCTTGTTCTGTGACCCAGGAATTAATCACACTGTATTTGGGAACTGCAAGGAGGGCCCTACTCTGATATCTCTTGTATCATTAGCCTTGTTAAAAATAACGAGAGCATATGCTGCTTTCATTTAAAAGGGGCTGAACTATGTCTGCCACAAACATTATTCAGCAGTCCCTGGAGAAATTTAGGAGTCAGCCAGAATCCCTTCTGGGTCTCCTGTTGCAACACGCTCCATCAGCGCTTTCCCAAATAGAAGCCAGTGCCTTTTAAGTACAATCCAGCTTTTAATTTGAGTAGAAATAAACATTGCATGTGTTTTTCTGAAAATAGTTGTAGTTTTTTTTAAATTTGTATTTCACTATAGAGTGAACAGGATATGTTCGAACAATGACTGAAAAAAATCCAGATATAAACCAGAGACATGGACTGTAAACGTCAATGCTGAGGTGACAGCTGCGTGATCTAATGCCCCTCCACTTCATATGTTAGCAGAACAATTCTGAGTTTTGCTCTGCAGCCACACCAGGATAATGAATATATGTTTATCCTCAGGAAACGGTATTCCGGCTGGATACTCAGAACTTGGAGTCTGGGAGGTTGAAATGCCCTTTCGATCCTCAGCAGCCATTTGCTTCCGTGATGGCAGGTAAGCAACCATCAGAGCCAGGTGTGTAACAGCTTCATGCTGTGAAGCCTGGGGTCAGAGGCTCAGCAGGTGCCATTGTTGGAGCACCTCTGGTGTTAGACATGTTTCCAGAGCTGGTTTGTGCTCTCAGAGATGAGTCTGCAGAGTCCGAAGAGCTGGAAATGCAGTAACACGAGAGATGTGAGTGGCTGTGAAGTCTCTGCCAGTTGAGCAGGAAGGTGGTTTCATCCTCACCCAGTCACTTCTCCTTTAAGAAGCTGACAGAAAAACCACATGGACGGACAATGTTTCAAGCGCTTCTGGGCCTCTTTCTGCAATTATCAATATGTTCTGTGCTTTGAAGTCTGCTGACATCCGCTATTTCCATAAATACATTTTTGAGGTTTCTATTTACTTGAATAGCCACTTCTGAGGCTGGAAGCCTAGAACAAGATAGTGCAATCTGCCTGCTGCGTGCATCGCAGCACTGTGTGGTCTGACATTTGGTGCCGAGGAATGTCAGCTTGACCTCTGGATTTCAAATCACTGTAAGAGCTACTTTTGTCATGGTTTGGTTCATAGCTTTGGACAATTTTCATTTAACTTGTCCGTCAAGCATATGAATACAAGATAAGAGTGAAGCACCATGACGTTTTCATTTACAGCCAAAGAGCAGTGGTGACAATGCTTTGATGTATCGGTCACTCTGTGTTATAAAAAGAATATGACTAATGTTCAGTCTTTATTCTCAGATAATAAGATAGATGATTTGTGATTCTGACCCAACAGATGGGGCAGGACTTCCTTTATTAAAAACAATAGATTAAAGCCAGCACTTATTCTTCTCATGGACCCCTAGTACTGTTTAATGACCGTGAAGTCTATTTTTAAAATAGGATTCTAGAAACTTTAACATTTTTTTTTAATGCAATAGAACTCTGTGATTTATTACATCACTGGCTACTTTCAGTAGCACTTTAGTGCTTTGAGTGCTCTCTTAAATCTTGTGAAATGAAGAAGCTGCTGTCTTTTAGCTAACTAAAACATGAACTTAGGTACATATGAATTTTCAGACTAGATAAAATTAATGGTCAAGGTATCCCTTCTCTGACTGTGCCTGGTGTCAAGTGCTTCACAATAATGTACAGGGAGCACTGTAAAGAAACACAAGCCTGATCAGAGAATGGGTTCTTGGCCTGTCTTTTGATGATTACTTTATTCCTCAAAGTACTAGGAGAGCAGTATAGTTCACGGATAACATACTGCCCTGGCACTCTGGGGAGCTCAATTCCTGTCTCTGCCACTGATGAGAGGAGTAACCTTTGGCATGTCTCTCTGTGTGGTTTTATTTATCTGCAAATTGGTGATAAAGATTACTTGTATCCTTCAGACAGCACTTTCTAATCAGTTATATGAACTAAATAATATTTCATTATATTTTCATTTGTGTGTACGTTAACACAACTGAGTAATTTTTTTTTCATTGTGGAAATACATAATCTGTCTTTGACTTCTACACAGCATTTTGTCCAAAATAAATTCCAGAGATAAATTTGAAATGCTGGCCTTTTTGACTGAAAAATCTCCTGCTCATAATCCACCTTCTATTACAAATTACCGCTCACTAAATCTGGTTTTTAACATAACTGGAACATGGAATGAGAGATACTAAAAGCTGAGAGAAGTGCTGAAAATGCCTTGTCAGCACTACCTAAGCAAGGATGGAGAATTTCTGTTAGCCCTTCAGATTTATCGATCACTGAGTGCCTGTCAGTTAGCAAACACCAATTACCCTGCCCATTCCTCATTATGACAAATACCTTTCAGACGGCACTATTGTTTCTTTACAAAGGCGACATGCTGTCTGAAAGATGTGCTTTCCAGTACTGTCATGGAAACAATACATAAGTAACAATAATAACGAGGTAAAAAGAAAGCTGATAGATCTTTTTTGGTTAAATAAAGTACTTGTGGGTCTTGGGTTGTGGGTTTGGTTTTTTTCCCCCCCTTGATCTTACACATTTACATCTTTTGCAAATTAAAACACAAACATCTATGTTGAATGGTATTTATTCTGCATTCAGTCTCAACAAAGGACGTTTCTCTCTAAAAGGTCTTGTGAAATGTTTCCACACAGAGTGTCAGAAAACCTGGAGAAGGATCTCCTGGAAAGGGATTTTTATGTATCACGTAGCTTTTTATTTGATTATTCTTTATGAACATTTTTTCTTTCTATAAACTCCAGGGATTTTTTGTTGTAAGTAATTAAGAAAAAAAAAAAAGTTTCTCTAACCAAGAAAGCTCTTCTGTTGTTTTGCAGAAAAAATAAAAGAGAGAGTTGTAAAATGCACTAAGTAGTAAAAAAAAAAAAAAAAAAAAAAAGTCCTGAGATCTGAAGGAAAACAGAAAATACTGTGCAGGTCTTAAGGTTGCGAAGTTTTGCATTGTACACAAAGCTGGTGGAAGACTAAATAACTGTAATTGCAGCAAGCACACTGTACTGTATTATAGATAGTTTCCCTGTGAGACAAATTCTGGCTGCCTTATTCTAGTAAGTTGTCTCATTTATTTTAGTGGAACCACTCACTATGTTAAAATGATCGCAATTTGGGTCTGTAGCCGTATTTGTATCATTAACACGTTACATAGTTGAGAAGATTTCCCATGGTGCCTAAATTCCTCTTCATGAATGAAGTGTTGGGTGGAGATCCCCACACCAAGAGAGAGCCAAGCTACGAAGTTCCCGTAGTGAAACATCCATCATGTTTACTAGCTCAAGCCCAGGAACAGCAAAGCCGTTGGAGCTGTGGCAAGTCTGGCACACAGGAGCTAGCTTGCATGGGTAGATGGTCATGTCCCCACCACAGCCCCCAGTCAGTGCTCACAAGGCAGGATGCTCCGTTTGAATACACTTTTATACCCGTAAAAGCCCAGCACTCAATAAAGCCTGGGGAATTTACCTTTCTGAGGCCGAAAAGATTTGAAAATTACACGTGGATGCCTTCACTTCTTGGGCATATAATTACAAATATTACCTCTATTTAACTGTAAATTCACAGAACCCCAAATCTCATTAAAATATAAGCCAGTAATACTTTAAGACCTTACATTAGTTCATAGACCAATTAAACGCAGGTGTTCACTGAAGAAAACATAAATAGTTTTAATTTTGTTTACCCCACAGCTGTAGAAACCCTATTTCTTTTTAATTTACAGATGAGTATCTTTATGCTGGAACAGCTTCTGATTTTCTTGGCAAAGACACTGCTCTAACACGTTCTCTGGGCCCTTCTCACGACCACCATTACATCAGAACTGACATTTCTGAACATTATTGGCTTACTGGTAAGATCCCAAACATATGCTGTTGTCATTTGCATTGTCCCTGCTTCTCTGAAGTTAATAGCCCCTTTCTTATATAAAAACATGTTTTGTAACTGTAAATATAGATATTGTATCATGGTATCTTTGGATTATGGAGGTTTTTTTAAGAAAGCTCAGTAGAACAAAAATGCACTTGAGAAAAGTCGCAGAGGTGAAAATGCTAATTAAGGAAAAAGTAGGAACGTAAGACCTAATCATTCTTTCTGTCTTTGATCTATACATCTGTATACATAGTCCTGTAATTGGAATAATACCATGACCTAAATGCTTCTATTTCCAGTCTTGTTGGAATAATTTTTTTAAACCCCTTTTTTTCCGATCACTTGTTAAAAGCTGCTCCCTATAGCATGTTGAAATGACAGACCAGAAATTCCATGTTTTTAGGTAAGAGGTGGTTTTTTTTTCCTTTTCTGACGGAGAAAAATATCCTTTGTTGCTGTGATGATCATTTTGAAACCACTAAGGGCACCCTAAAATAGCTTCCCAAGCAAAACACTGCTTTTTCTTGCTTGTTAAAAAACATTCTGAGCTAGTAAACCCTGTAAAAAACTGGCTGCATTTACACCCAGCGAGTCTCAAGCCACACACAGAGTAACATGGAAAACTTCGCTCACAAGTTAACCCTGCTCAATTAAAGCATCCTCCTTTTAGCCATCAACTGCCTTTAAAGATGTGGCAACACTGGCCTGGACTCGGGATGCCTGTGTAACTATTATGGGTGTATTATAAAGCCAGGGCCTGCTGACCACAGGGTTAAGTTGTCTTCCCAGCAGACAACTTCTGAAAGGGATAATTTTGCCTCTTAACTCTTTGAGACCTCAACAAGAGGAAATGTTCTTTATTATTGTTCTTTTTTCCCCTACCTTTTCTGTGCCTTCTTCTAAGCTGTTGTCTTAGATTTCTGTCTAGATGTAACTCTATAACCTCAGGATTTCTTCTGTGAGATGAGGAGAAAAAGGGAAGCTACTTTAATCATTTTACCTTTCCAAATAGGAGCAGTCCTTTGGACAGATAGAAAATTCTCACATCTGACTCTGCTGACGTATCCCACTTTCTCCTGTGCTCAAAACCTTTCTTGTCCTACCTCTAATATCCCCTATCTGTCATTTCTACAACATCCCTTGTGCATTGTAGAGCAGAAATGGGCTGTGACATGGATCAGGATGAGTCCTTCCAAAAGACAGTTCTCTAACGGTAACTAACTGTGCAACTGAATATCCAGTTTTATCACTGGCAGCCTGCTGATGCTCAGCATGGAAAGATGGTTGGGGCAGCTGCTTTCCTAAGGGATGCTACATTATCCAAAACCAAAAAGATTTACTGCAGTTTGATCCTGAGGAGCATCTGGTGTTACCATTAGCATAGATCCACCTTGATGAGCATTACAGGGTTCACTTCCCAGCCCAGAAGAACCTATAGCTTAAATACCCGGTTCCAAACATTTCTTCATGGTATTAATGTTTCTTCATGAGCAGTTTGAGGCAAGGGAACAGTACAACAACACAGAATAAACAAAAGGTTTGAGCACTGTTTATGTGTTACAGTTTGGAGGCTGGGTGGGGGGTGTCTACCTTTCTTCTTTCTTTTAGGTTGATTCATGTTTTATTCTGTTTTCACATAAAGTCTCTGTATTTGTGAAAGTTTTCTAAGGTGAATAATATATTAATATGTCTGGCTTTGAAAAACAGCGTTAGTGTGCTAGACTGCAATGTGATAATTACCCCATGCTATATAAACACTGAAGACCCCATATAGTCTTCAGGTTTACCTTGTTTCCAGCCACATAAAAAACTACAACCATGCTCTCACTAAAGTTTCACATACACAATCCACTCAGTGTTATACTAAGAGGCATAGATGTAAACTAGGTACTTTTAATATTTCGAAAGAGTCCTTTTAAGTTTGGAGAAAATTTTGAGTGTAATTCTCAATGATGGGATCATTTCTGCAATAAGCCATAGGGTGGCCACTGTATTTCTAGTTTATTGTGTAACATTACCAATTACATACATTTGTGCTTTCAGACAATACTGGTAAAAGAAAATATTTACTTGATTTCAGGTTTAAAACTCTCATCTCATTTAAATCCCCTCTTCCCTAAAACTACCACCCATTTACTAAGCGTGTGTTAGACCTCCAGGAAAAGATGTATATATCTGAGTAATTGTACAATTAGAAATAAATTATTTCCAGGTGTGACTTATGTTTTACTTAGGATAAGCACAAAATGTATAACTTGTTTTTTTCCAAAGGGCCGAGGAAGTTTTGCTATAATGCACCTCAATATTTTTAAAGTTCAGTCTTACTCTGTTTCTGGAAACAAGATTATCCTTTCCTGAGGGAAGGGAGTGAAAGACAAAGCATAAGGGAAAAATGCGTAGGATACCTTCCAGTTCCTTGCAGGGCATCTCTATCTTGACTAATTAAGACATGTCTTAATCTCAGTGACTGAATAGCAGCTCCACAAAGGAGAAAGGGAGGAAGGCAGCTAATCTTTCCCATGACTCACGCTCATACAGGCTCATACTCCTGCACGTGGTGGCACTGAAGACAGGGGATGCTGCCTCTGCTCAGACTTTAGCCCTTTTCCTCCGGAGCTGAAGAATCAGGCGCTCCCCTAGCTGCTGATTGAGGCTGCCTCTCCCATGACCAGAGCAGGGGACGAGGCGTGTGAGGCTGGTGGCAAAGCCACTCACTGGAACCGAGTCTGCCCCGCTCCAGCCCACCAGACAGGAGGGCATCCTGTGGCGGGATACCTGAGCCCTACGTACAGATACGTACTAAACAGCTGCACATTCCTCCCTCCTTTACAGGAAGCTGAATCCATAGTTGGAATGGGTTCTTCCCTGAATTACATTCATCCTTTTTAAAATTTCCTTTTTCACTGCAATTTAGTTGTCTTTGCCAGGGAAAGGACTTGCAGGCAATGACTTCTTTATATTCTGTGAACTTTGGATGGGATTTAGCTCATTTAGCTCTAAAAGGCAAAAGCTTGCACCCTGTCAGAGCTCAGTCATTTTGGTTGTCTGTAATTTACGGAGAGGTGACACTTCCAGAGGATGACTCACCCCACCTATTGTAGGAATACATCTTAAAATAGGTTTATTCATTGTCACTTTCTTCCTTCTGTCCCTCCCTGAGAGAGGACCTGGATGAGTATAGGTTAGGAGTTCGACTTCTAGACAGTTAAAGATAAATGAGGTGAGCACTATTCTTTGCATTTTATCATGCCACATATTTCTGGCAGCCCAAGTAAGAAGAGTTTTGGCCTCCCACTGTTTTGGGTTGCTTTGTTTGTTTCTGCATATTCTGGGATTTGTTACCTGTTTGCTCTCCTCTTTGTCTGAGCATAATGACTCTTACTTCTCTGTAGGTCTTACTAAGGCATGCATAGTTGCGCTGCCTAAAACTACTGCTGGTATTAGAAGGGTGTGACAGCCAGCAGGTAGCCAACAGCAAACATGACCACTCCAGCAAACCCAGCAGTGAAGGACTAGGTGTAAGAGCTCTTCCCACTAGGCCACAAGAGCATGTTTAAAAAAGAATGAGAAATTTATTGTACTATCTATTGTCAGAGCTCCTGATGCCTTTAATCCGTTGTTTGGTTACATACAATCTAACTATGAAATTAATATGTGGGAAGACCTTCTATTGAAGCAATTAGAGGTGGGACAACTGTGTATATGGGAAAATAAACAGTGGTTTAAAATCATAGAATCATAGAATGGTTTGGGTTGGAAGGGACCTTAAAGATCATCCAGTTCCAACCCCCCTGCCATAGGCAGGGACACCTTCCACTAGACCAGGTTGCTCAAAGTCTTGTCCAGCCTGGCCTTGAACACTTCCACACTTGAAGACATCCAGGGATGGGGCATCCACAGCTTCTCTGGGCAACCTGTTCCAGTGCCTCACCACCCTCTCCATGAAGAACTTCTTCCTGATATCTAATCTAAACCTCCCCACTTTCAATTTAAACCTGTTACCCCTTGTGCTGTCACTACAGGCCCTTGTAAAATCATCAGAATTTAATATGTTTCCCATGCATCTTTGCAAAAAACTAATTCACATTTATTTTAAATGCACATTTCTATGTTGTATGGATGGATTACAAAAGATGAGACAAAGATCTCGCAGAACATAATGTGCTTTTCAGATCATGATCTCTTTCATTAAATTGTTTTCAGTCTTTTTGTCTTCAAATCTTTTAAAGCGTATTTTTGTTTGGATTTAACTTTCGACTTCAATGTTTTCAATTGTGATTTAAAATTGTTAAATATTTGTGTTCCTTTAATTTGTTAGGGATTCTTCTATATCTGTTCCAGGAATTGGTATTGAGACATTTGTTTTTACATTTGGCTTGCCAAGCAAAGCAATGAAATTTAATTTTATAAAAACATATATTCAGAGTTTTGTTCTGTGAATGTGGATTAAAAAAAAAAAATTCGATGTGAAATTCAAAAGCATGCCATAAAAGTATTTCGCAGGTTTTCCTATTAAATGGCTATTTAGCTAACCACATATTTAAGAAACCATACTGGAAGTGTATGTATGTATTTATTCATGCTTAGAGATGTAATCTTCAAAGTAGCCTTACGGGCCCTGAGGGGTAATTGAGTATTTTCTTTAGGCTCATTTGGAAATCCCAACTAAAATTTATATAGCTTAATGTCTGCATCATTTCATTTTTCTGCTGACACCATTCTCTAGTGTCAGAAGGGTTTAAAATGGACGCAGCACTGTGGCTATTTTGACCCATAAATATACTCTCTGTCATGAAGGTGCACATTCAGCACGTAAAAACATCCCATTTTGTCTCAAACCCTCAGCTGTGAACTTTTGAATCAAGGACCCTCTTTTTGTGCTATGTGTACTGTAGAGTTCACGGAGAAAATTCCTCAAGGCTAATGTAAAGTAACAATCATTATAAAAAGGACAAAGGCATGAAGATACATTAAAAGCTGTAAAAGTATTCCCCACATATCGCCAGTGTGCTCTGTTTGCTCTACCGTCTCACGCAATCCTCCTTACTGCTTTGTACTGCAGCCTGCCTGCCTACAGGGGACAAAGATTGTGTATTTCACTGCTGAAAGAATGTATTTTAGAGTCAAGGGTCTTTTTGCACCATATTTGTATAGCCACTTCTGTTTAAAGAAAAACATAATTGATCTAAGTGCCCTTAGAAGAGCTCATCTATTGTAGCACATTGGGGAATGTCTTAAAAATCACTTCCCCAAGTATGTGGTTCTGTTGTGCAAGGCAGTGTTGTAGCCTGATCTGCCGCAGACAGGGACTCCTGGAATTATTTTAATTTCTGATTTTACTACAAAATTTAAAGAAAAATTAAAAAAAAAAGCCCAAAACAAACAAACAAACAAAACCCCATAACTGGTGATCAGGTACAACAGGACTGTATGTCATGGACAAGGGAGCTGAGGAAGACAGTGAAGGATGTGTATTAAATTTTTAAGCCAATAAGTTTGCCTATTAGATGCAGGCAGAGACACCCAAGCTTGCTTTGGAAGAGACCAGGAGTAATATAATGGCTCAAGATGCCAAGGCAAAGCATGCTGTAACATTTCTTGGAAAAAGGAGGTTGAAATAACCCAAACAAACAGTTATGTTGATATAGTGAACCTGTTTTCATGCACCAGGAACTGTGTCCTTAAGACTGACCAGTCAGTTGTGGAGTTTTTGTGGTAACTGGGGAATCTTAGCACGACACTGTATTGGATTTGGTAGATATAGTCAGTAAGATTGTTACAGCATAGATATGTAGGAAATGTTTAATGTGGGAATGCTGTCATTTATATTGAATTTTTAATCCAATGGAAAAATAAAGGTTCTCTAATATTTTTGCAAGCTATCTCTAGTAAACAGTAATCTATTTCTGTACTCATAACTTCTGCAATGTGTAATTAAATTAATTTAAATTCTACCAGGTGATTCAGAAAATCTACTAATCTTGGTATTCATGACATGAGCAATAAGGCAGATTTTTGTAGGCAATATTTTGTACTGAGATTTTACCTATTTTCAAACAGAGAATGATAGCCAGTGCTGCATATTTATGCAAGTTGTAGTAAGATACATACACAAAAATATCACACTAAGACCAAATACTTCAGAATCTATGGTGGTTTTCACTCAGAGTTGGTAAGAAACTTGCCACTACATGTCTGTATAGCGATATTTTTATTTCACTGGAAGATACAACATAAGCACAGGTATTGAAGCAGGAATTTAGTATCAATTATTAAGAGTTTTCTTCAGACTTTTAAAATCTTTTTCTGGGAACTTCTAGGAGCAAAATTCATTGGAACTTTTCCCATCCCGGACACCTATAACCCAGATGATGACAAAATCTACTTCTTTTTCCGAGAAATATCACAAGATAGTGGCACATCTGACAAGACAATCCTTTCCCGAGTTGGAAGAGTTTGTAAGGTGAGGACTTTATCTTTTCAGTATATGTAAAGGAAAAAAAAAAATCTTTGGTTTGCTTCTGTAAGAAATATGTTTTTCCCTTCAGATCAGAAGGAAATAGTGGTGTTGCCCAGTGAGCTATCCTAGTAATTTTTCTGAACATGGATTAGTAATGCTATCTGAAATATGCTTGTCTGAAAAATAGACTTGATATTGACTTTGTACCTCTTTTTAAAAAGCTAATATGCTTATTAATTATCATCCTGTGTCTAAACGATACTGCACTGCTCTTCAGATATACAACAGTGACCTGCTTTGTTTCATAAACTTTCAGTAAGGATTGACTTGTCAAGTGTACACAATGGCAAGGTATTTGAGTTTTTGTGGAAAGTGCCCACTGAATGGAGGGATATACAAACCCATCCTGTCAGCCTAGGTCAGTACATCAGTCCTGGGCATTAGTGAGAGCTGGGGTCAGACATTTGTTTCTGCACATTCCTGATAATCAGTTAGGGTGAGGGGAGGCTGTAAAATGTATATAGTTTCTGAGCTACACCCACATCTGCCTGGAGGTTTCCTCCCCTGGGAAGAAGTGCAGTCCTTGACCTGTTGACCAGGAGGAACCAGGACCCGGATCTGCCGCAGTTAAAAAAGTTTCATTTGGTTGGTGCCTGACCTTCTTTAAATGATTACTCCCTTCACTTTCTCTTTCTTTATGCTTGGCTTTGCCCCTTATGAAAGATTTCTGCCCCTATGGTAATCATAATGCAGACTCAGATTTTCATGAGCTGCACTCTTTCTGAAGAAACATCTTTGGCAAGTGCAGAAGCCTCCTCCAATGGTAATGAGAAGATAAAACAGTTCCTGCGTATGAAGACAGCAGGCAGTGTGGAGTTTGCTCTTTAACAGCCTGCTGGATCTGCTAAGACCTTATTCCCACTACAGCAGAAGGTTCTATTGACTTCTGTGTCAGACGTACTCTCAATCCACTCCTTTTTCCTGTGATACTGTAGGAACAGAAGCATTCAGTATAAGTGCTCCCATCCTGTCCTTTGGTGTTCAGTGAATCCATATACCCAGGAATCACTGGGAAAAGTAAGGAAAACAGAACTTCAAAGTTGTTGTGTTATTAGTAAATGTAATCTTAGAGCAAATGTTTATCTTGTGATGAACTAGGTATTAACAGCACCATTACAGCAGTCGCACCATTAGGTACATTTCTGTGATACTTTGTTCAGAATCTTTCATTTATGTGCGTTTTCTGAGCAATGTGAGTCTGCTGACAGTGAAAATTATCTTCTTAAGAAGGCTCAACATTAGTAAACAAAAAAAAGGGTTTGTGATTTGCAGTAAGATGTGTCTAGGAGAAGAGCGCCCATTCAGTTCACACACACACACTGAAAACCAACTGGACACGTGCATGACTGTGTAAGGCTGCAACTGCTCTGCAGCCCGGCAAACTGCTAACTCCAGTCGAGATTTCAGTGACAACAAACACTTCACCATTCTGTCCTTGACCTGAAATTCTAAGAAAAGAAAAAACTAATTCATAAATCAGTTCTGTAGTAGGTTTTTAGCCAGACAAAAGAATGGATAATCCTTAGTTGGGTATTTCACAGCAGTGTGATTAATGGCAGACTGGAAATGCAAACATATATGATTTGCTGCTAGACATGGCATTTGCTGATTATGAGAAAGCACTTAATGCATTAGGAGAAATTTGTAGACAACATTTTCATGCCAAGACACATGAGAGATTATAGTAAACTAAGATATATTAACTAGAGGTCTCCAGCATCCTTTACCTAGAGAAAAAAGAAGATAAGGTATCATTATAAAAGCAAATGTATTGTAAGGAAATCCTAACGACCATGTCTAATTGTACCTCAAATGAGACTGAAGAGTAGTCATGTTAACGAGAAAAAAATGTCTTGAATTTTATTTTTAATAGTCAAAGCAAAACAATGGAAACTGATAAGTAAGGTGATTGTTATTAATGTTAGTTTTGCATTGTCTTCTTCATTTATTGAGCACTTCCCAGTGGGTGTAGAGTTCTCTTGAAAGTTCAGACTCCCGTGTTTTTGTACATTTTTCATTATTACCTGGGGAAAAAAAAAAGACAAATTAATATAATCAAAATAGAATTATTATGGATATTTAATGTAAATTAAAATATGCAAATAGACTCTTCTGTTTGTGGAGTGGGTTCCTCTGGATCTGTGGTCTGAGATGAAACATCTGCTATGCTTAATTCTCTCTGATATGAGATCAATGTCTTTGGTTTTAACAGTTGATAACAAAACAACTTCTACTTGCGCTGTCTCATTAATGTGACCTGTACTGCAGAAAGTTAAGCCTTTGCCTTCTTTCCCTTGCAAGGAGAGAATAAAAAAGGGAAGAGCCCATCAACTTCTGAAACCAATTGCTTGGTGTACACCCAGTTTTTTTGGCCTAGAACTCAATTGCTCTCTACCTCACTGTGCCTTAGGGCTCTGTTACATTAATGCCAGAAACACATGCTGAAATTAGAACAGCTTTGTTTTTAATAAAGAGGTTAGTCAATGCAGCCTATTCTTTGGTTAATTTTCAATGGCTCAGCAATATAGTTTCTCACTGATCCTCCCCCTTAGGGAAAATCTCTGGAAAGCATTCCCTTTTCCCAGCTACTTTCAGACCCAGAAGATCACAATACTCTTGCTGGCAGCTCTTTGCCCAGAGTCTAACAGCTGTCACTTGTCCTGTTCATAAGACCATACTCACCATCTCGAAGCATGTGTTGTAGTAACACAGCCACTATAGCACTAAGTAGCACTAATTTAGATTTACGTCATCTGCATTCTGTATATCACTAGGGGATATCACTACGAATTAGGAGGAAGTGCTTTCAACAGTCACTTTCAGAACCAGTTGTGTAATTTATCATGGCAAACAGCATTTCCTATTTTTGGTTTGAGGGAGGCAGATAAAGTATCATTGACCTATCTGTAATACCTGATACTATTTATGGTATGTTCCTACTTACATAAAGTGTAATCTCTTAGGTTATTTGTCTCATTTTCAAGTAAGGACATAAGTACAAATAAAAAATACTATTAAAGATTAGCCAGCAATGTTTATTGTTTTTTTTTAACAAATAAACATACACATATGTATGTTGTATGATCATCCAAACCTTAACTTCTTCAGAACATGGACTCATGTGTTTCTATTTCTAGAAACACTGGTATAAACTTTTACAGCTACACTGTCTTCAAGCCCACACTACTAAACCAGTTTGCATCAGCTGAAGACATGACACAGTCATTACACACTGAGCCAGATTCTGAAAAAATATTGCAGCATCCATGCACTGTGCCCTCTGCAGTCAAGTAACAAGTCAGCTACATTTTTGTGTATATATCCACCACAAAATGATGACAGAATTGTAATTCTATTTAAGGACAACCTCACATATGCACAGACCTAGAAAATACCTAGGTTTCCCTGCTATTTTCCCCACTCACATGAAGTGAGAAATGAAAATAGATTGCAGGAGTCCACAGAAAGGTTTTGGACAGGGAGAAAGGTTGCTGAGGTTTTGACTGTTTGTTTTCTATATAGAAACACATTTTTTTGTAGTCACAACCTCATTCTATTGGAATGGAGTGGAAATTAGCCAAAAGCAGTAGTCTCTCTGCTGCAATATGAAAATTCTGTTTATTATTACAGCGGTTTGCATTTGCTGTGTTACAAGTTTCTCTTTAATGGTTTTGGTGATGTATTGCAAAAGTTACAGTGTGCAGTCTTAGAGACTGCTTTCAGAGACCTCAGCTGCCAAGAAATCAGACTTCAGCCCCTAATGCTTTCCCATATTTCCCAAAGTGTTCAGTATCCAGAAGTGGTCTTTGTTCTAGTGGGAACAAGTGAGCCCTTTGTCTTTTTTCTTTTTTTTTGGTATGCCATTCCACCCTCATATATACCACACTGTACCTGGGGACGAGAGTATAGCAATTAGGCACAGCCCTCTTGGTTAAACTGTACTTTCTAAACACACTGGAATGTAATCATTTTAAGAGCTCCTGAGTCGAGAGCCCAGGACACACCCTGCATTCCACCTTTGGGTAATGTGATTTATTTCCAAAGCCATGAACATGAGCAGGGTTCAAGGCTATGACCTTGCCTCCTGTCTGGTGCTTTAAGGCAATTTGTATTCCCAGAATGGCAGGAGGGAGCTATTCCTCTGCGACTCTGCATCCAAGGTCTCCGGTGGGCCCTGCCGTGGAGCTGCTTGTGTGTAAAAGTTAGGAGGTGTTTTTCTTCTCCTGGAAATAGTCTAGCCATGCCTTTACTGTGACTGGGGATAACTGGGTCATTAACATTCTTTGTATTTCTATATTGTGTCATGCATCACTGTGTAGATAATTGATCTATCTCCAAACCCATTTGAGTTGTCCGCAGAGCATAATGCTTTACCGTTCAGCCGTATTAGCTTGGGTCCCGGAAGTGAAATAGCCATGTTAACATGTTCTCAGCAGGGCTAATTAGTCTGGGCTCAGAGCCATGCTCGTGCAGCTCTCCTGCTTCCAGTTCTGGAGGCAACTCATTCCAGACAAGATTTAGTTTACATGCTTACATACTTCCTTTGTCACCATAATACTGCCTCTCCACAATGCTAACAATTGGTAATGTTTTGGGGTGTTGGTTTTTTTTTTTTTTGGTTGGTTGGTTATCTTTATTTATTTTTAATTTCTCAATTATACTGATTAAAACCACGTCGAAAATGTCATCCTAGCAAAACTTTGGCTTTCATCTGTCTGTTGAGCACCTTTGCCGCAGTGGGTCTTTCGGTAGCCAACTCATCCTGGGACCTCCAAACTTGATATTCGAATATTATGTGCCATTTGAAAGTTTTCAGATGATGTAAAAAAGCAGATGCTTATCAAGATGATTTCATTTTAAGGGCTGATATGTTGGAGATAAGCCAGTTCCATACAGACTCTTCTTCTAACTGTGATGAATTAAGAGATACAACTCTAGGCTTT